GGCAATGGGTCTCTGTGTTTCCAAGAAAGTGAAATATTAACATATTACTCCAAGTCAAGAAAATGGAGGGAAAATGAGGCCCTAGTCTTGTGAAAGTGAAATCTAAAACTTTCTATTACCTTTGTTGCATTGTTAAATTCGTATTCACAAATACAATGTTATGAAAGTTTCGTTTTCTTTTCCTTTCTGTGATTTGGCCAGAAGCCATGAATATTTGAATACTTGCAGACTTGCCCTCTAGGAGGATGTCATCAGTCACTTTGCAACTTGCTTATTGTGGGAAATAGCCACTTTTAAAATGGATGACCTATCACAAAATCCTAAAATTGATCCCAAATTGATTGAAAGGATAGACCTAAAGTACATTTTATTTATCATCTATCAGCAGTACACATATGAGTGTGAGAGACGTATATAGGCAGTATAACTGGAATTCTTAGATCTGATTCTCATTCCAAACAATAATGGAAGGTTTTAAGACTTCAATATCTTTAGATAAATTCCTCTAGGAATGGTGGGGACAGTCCTATGATCTTAAAAAAAAATATTATCATCTCAAAAATTTATGACTACAGTGATCAAAAATTTATGAGGCTGTATCTTGAAATTAGTTAGTTTTGCTATTTTTACTTGCTTTTAAAGGAGAAGGTTTTCTGCCAGAAAAGAAACACAAAACATTTCTTTCAATCTTGTAACATTTTTTTTAGTATTTCCTCTTAAATGAAGTAAAGCAAGTTATTGGTGCAAGTAAAGTTATTGGTGAAGTAAAGCAAGTTTTTGGTTATGAATTTGTTGGTGATTTTAGAAGGTAACCCAATATGGAGTTCAAACCCAAGCTAAATTACATGTGTGTTGTGAATTGCAAACACATTTTTATAAAATTTCCTCTTCCTTCTCCAGACAAAAGGTAGCACCTATTCAAATCCACGCAAGATTCTCCTCCAAACATATTCAAGGGTCTAGACAAAAGAGAACTGATATAATAGAATTTCATCTATTTCAAGAAGTTTTAATTAAAATACAGTGATTGAAGAATCGAGGTGTCAACTGAGTTATTAATATCTTAGACTGGAAAATTCACTAAATGTTCAATATGACAAAAGAAAAAATACTCAGATTAATTTAAGACATGGAGAAGACAGAATTTCAGAGACGATACAATTGATTGAGACAGTGGAACTTGTAGTGGAAGGAGAATTGTAGGGTGATTACTACACCAGGTATCTGTCCATTCTGTAACTGCAGCTTCTGGAGAAGCTTGAAATTTATGACAAAATTTTAGACTTCCTTGCAGAAAGTAGAAGGGGTGAAAATCACCATTCCTTTTCTTTACAGTAATTACTTTTTAATATTATCACAAGATTTTTTAAAGATATTTTCTAATCATCATGAATAAAAATTCAAAAATTTTATTGCAAAAGTTTAGTTGGAAAGAAGTCTAATATAAAGTAAAAAAAGTTCTTACCATGCCAACCCTGGTAGTTCCTTTTTTTGCTCCTTCACTACTTTTTCCAGGGCAAATGGCAAATTTTCTGTTATCAATTTAAGAGTTGTTAAATTTATGAATAAATTATGTCTGGAATTTTTTTTTCTTTTGTGCTATAGATTGGAGAATTTTAAAGAGATAGGACTAGGAAAATACACTGAAAAGTAAACCGTAAAAATTGTAACTATATCGGAGTGTAAGAAAATGTATGTCATGATTTAAAAGAAAACCAACTGAATTTCAAGTAATATCTGTACTGTGTTTTGGTTCATTATTTAATATTTTTATCCTTTTACTCTCATCTTGATGTTATTAATCTCCTGTCTCCCTCTGTGTGGATAGTTTCATAACAGGATTCTGAACCTTCTGTCAGGGAGGTATACTGATGCATTCTGTATGCAGTGACACTTTTCAAGCAACAACAGAGTAGATGAGGAGTACAAGCTAGGTGGGGATAGGAGGGTAGCAATTGCCATTATCCTAATAATCTAGTGCATATTTGATGCCTTGAATAGAATTTTACATAATATAAAATATTTAGAACATAGCCATACTGGAAGTAATTGAACTAAAAGTCTAAAGTTACAATGTTTAGTGATTATAAATGAAAACAATATTTTTATTTATTTCAGCATGAACAAAGTTAAGAATTAAATTCTCATTCTGTTTTTAATACAAAGAAGCGATGGCATCGTTCTTGAACCTATCTGTGCTTGACATAACATCTTTGAATCTTCTACACCCCACCTTGTTCCAAAAGGTGCACTGCTGGCAGTAATAGTCATCCCCACTGCCATATCAGTAGGACCCCCAAGGAAAGAAAGATCAAGGCATTCTTGTATAGAAGTAGTTCTCTGGTACATGATTTTGTCAAGGGCTTCTGTTATTTCAGCATGCAATTGGCATCAGCATGTTTGAGGCACAGAAAAGTCTTCTAGCTCTTTTTTTAAGGCTGAGAAGATTCATGATATGATCTTCACCAAGACCACACGAGATGTAGTGCAGCCATTCAAGCACTTAGCTGCTAATAACCAAATGTCTATGCTATGATTCTACTTAGCTATAGCATAAATCTTCCAACTATTGTTAGTACATCCATTTCATGTGGTGTTTATCTTTCCACTTCTTGCATCTTGAGGTTGAGAAAGATTTCTGTGGAATCCAAGATAATATAAACAAAATTGTTCCACATCTTAATCCAATCCTTAAAGTGCATGCAGTCATCTGAATGGCCATTGCAAAGGCAATTATAATGCTGGAATTTTTTAGTATTTCCATCTAATGTTTGCATCTTTTAAAAAGGAACTGGAAGAAAGAGAACCAGGTGCCTCTTCACAGGTCATCTCTCATGATCATGAATCTGTTATGTTAAATTATGCCTAAAAGTGTGAGGAAATTGTAGTAGTAATAATTATCCCCTTATTTGTGGATTAGTCAAGGGTTGAGAGTTCGTAGTGAATCTTGTAGTAGCTAGTTGGTAGTGAAGCAATGCATGAACCACGAATCCTGTTTTCTTTCTTGTTCTGCATCATTATGTTTTCCACTAAGTTTTCGTAGATAGTTGGGCAGGTTTCAGACATTTTTATTATGAATAATTACTTTGGATAAATTGATGAGATTTTCTGCTTATGAAGGCATATGTTTGCTTCCACATAGATATCTTTTGGATAGATGGCTTTTTAGGTACCTTAAGATATTTCACATAAAATCCAGTTAGGCATTTTGGATGTCCTGTAGAATCCGAGACATTTGCACCGAGCAGAAAGATCTGACAAAATACTTGCGAGAATCTCTTATTCTTTTGCAGACACAGGTAGACTCTCTACTTCTCTTTAAAAATGTAATTAGCATGCTTTCTTCTACCTGTCTTAGGAAACCTTTTTTCTTTTCTTCTGTGTCTTTTCAATTTCTTTGCTGTTTTGTACCAGTTCTGCTTTCCTGACTGCAAAGTCATTGCAGTTGTGGTGCAGAAAAGCATCTCAAAAGAAAATGCTAATAGGGGTTTGTTATAGTGTACAGTAACAGGCTCTGATAAAAAAAAAAAATAAAATTCTACTCTTCAAACACTGTCTTTAACCCAGACTTCTGTTTCTTAAAATGTCATGAGGTGATTATGCAATTGAATTCTTTCATTCTCAGTTTCTTAGAGTGATTTTGTACTCCACCAAGGTGATTTAACTGCTTCCAAAAGTTAGATCATTAGACTGGCTTCAGTTACTGCATTAGCAAAATTAAAACACAGAAGAAAGGACATTACAATGGTTTTCTAGCTCACAAGCTAGAGGTTTGAGTGCTGATACTCTGTCTTCTCTAACTAGGAGTCACCTGCTCAGTAATGGGTCAAGAGTATGTTCATTATTTGGGTATTTTACTGCCTTGCTTTTTATGGAGCCAGTCATGAGTACAAGATTATTGGTGCTGGAAGTTTTTTAAGATACATGACTTGGTCAAATCTGTGAATTCTCATATAATCAGTAAGAAGCACTTAGTTGATTAGTTACTAGATTTCAAAGTTATTCTTTGACAAAATTTCCTTATCTATACAAGGCCATCTTTTTTTTGCCCATATCAGGAAAGAAGCATTGAGAATTTCTACCTGATTTTCTTAGTCCTCAAAAAAGTGAAATGTATACCAGAATAGTTCTGTAACTGTAACTGTCTACCCATTTTTGTTTATAATGTGAAGTCTGAGACTCGAAAATTTCTCTATGAACTGTAATCCAGCTAATGTACTTTGATTTTTTTTTCTTTATAAGGAAAAGGAAGTGCTTATTACTCTTAAAGAAAAGTTTTAAGGACTTTCCAATGGGAGTAATCTTGACTTTCTAGAGAGATATCTCAATCTTTTTTCATCTCAAGTATCAGAAATCAGTTGGTGTGATAGAGACAGTGAGTTGTCTGACAAAAAGCTGTTTGTTATGCATTGAGAATTTTCTTTTTAACTTAGTGGTATATGAAGTAAAAGCTTGTTATCTTTTAATATCAATTAGGTGGTTTACACTGATTTGAAATTTGGTCTTGGAAATCTATGCAACAGTAAAATAATTTTAAAAAAACAGTTTGTGATCACTGGCTGGTTTTGTTTTCACTTATAAGAAAGAAGCAAAAATTGAATTCAAGGGGGATAGATAATACATAGGTTATTGTCTTCCCTATATAATAACATATGCAAGGTGTAACAATGAAGCAACATGAAGAAACTTCTGCTGTGGTACTTTGTTCCACTTATGTTCATTGGACAAGTGTATGAACTGGAGAAATGAGATGTGTTTTCTATTCTCTGGACAGGAAGAATATAAATTGCTTAAGGGTGAAACAGAAGACATAACCACTTAAAATTTATTTGAAAATCAGAATGAATTATAGTTTCTAAATGATCAGGTCATTCTTCTCTGGGGGAAAATATTAAGAAGTTCAACCTAAATTCAGTCTCTTTAGGAAGTCATCAGGGTCATATTCAGATATGTGGTTTAAAATCCTTGGGTTTTGATCATGTTATATTTTATCTTCTTAGGAATGGCAAAATTCTATTCAGAAGAATGCAGGACTTGCATTTATTGAACTCATCAATGAAGGAAGGTAATGAATTTTAAAGCTTTTGAACAAGTAGTCATTTTGCATTTATTCCATTGGGTGATAATACTTCTTCACCATCTGTTCCAAAAAGATTCTGAAAAGACCATTTTAATTAAGAGATTTATTGTATAAATTCTTAATATAGTAAATATTTCATTTTGAAATGTGTACATTTTGAAAATTTTGTTTACTGACTGAAGGAAATAGAGTTCCCATGAACTGTATATAAGTTTGGGGTTATCCGAGAATTGAGCCACCATTCTCCAGAGTAGCAAGGTTGTTTTACCCAGACAGTCCAGGGAGCCCAATCTGCAAACCCATCTGCTGCTCCATCTGTTTTAGGAGCACAGCATTCATTTTACAGATATACTTCTCTATACTACTATTTCATGATGAATTATTTTATCTAGAATTTCTGGTCCAATTTGAGTCTGTAAAACATACATGACATTATGTTTATATGAGCTTCCTTAGTTTTGCAAATTTTTATGATACTTTAATATCAGTCCTCAAGTAATTTTGGTGCTGTATCTATGTTCAACTGTGTGCAATGTTTGTCAGTACTTCTAGCCAGCAAGCTGGGCAGCAAAGGGAGACTCTTCGGTCTTCCTGGTAGTGGAGTACTCAAGATAAACAGAGCCACTTCTGTAATGTGTGTGACTCGTATTGACCAATGCATTAGATCCAATTGAATCTACATGTTTTGTTATGTGCAGATAAAAAAAATATAACAATATACCTGTTGAAGAGATGTTCTCATTTTATGTGTGATTGCTTTTTTTCACCAATGATATCTCATTGGCAAAGTGAAGTATCAAATCTTCTCTTTATTGTAGGATATTTTTTGTCTAGCTGATATTTCAGTGGTTAAATAATGAATTTATTTAAAATAAAGTTTAGAAAACATCAGAGTATAGAAATATAGGAATATGCGTATTCAAAAAACAGGAGTGTGTAGCTTATTACCAAAATTTTGGCTGATGTAAATTCTCCTAGATTCCCCGTGCACACTGAAGTTACACCACAATATAACAGAGGGAAACATAGTCCTTCCATTGGAAATTCTTCTTGCTATGAAGTGCCAGTATGAGTTTTTATACTATAATAGGGTTCACCTGAGTGGGTCATGTACTGCAAATTATACAATAAATATTACCTGGACATAGACTGAATAATTATAATAAGGTTATGTTCTTGGATAGTAATACACAGTACCATTTTGACCTTTTTTTATTTTCTCAGCCAGGATTTTAAAGTCAGATATTATTGTATCATAGCTATTGATAAAATGGTCCTTCTGAACAAATCCTATATCTGCATATTTTTAGCAGTCAGGTATTAAGATGCCGGTGGACCTGATCCCCTCTAAGTGACTTTTCAAAATAAAGTAGTATTTAAGAATTGCTACTTAAATCCAGTCGAAGGAAATTCTAATCAAACTGCCCTTAGATACATAGATACATATTCCTCTGTATACTTTTCTCAGAAAGGCATTTTAGAAAAAGTGTATGTGCGTTACTAGAACACTCTTCTTTGCAATCAGCCCTTTTTTTTTTTAATTTACCATTTTGGGTATAAAGATAACAATCCTTTAACTGGAAATTGTTATAAATATTTATTCTGCTTAATAGCTAAACTTGTGAATGCAATTCATCAATCATAGCTAGAGAATGCAATTGTGCCGTTGTCAACAATTAACAGGACATAAACAGTTGATGAATGTGCAGCTGAATTAAAGTGCTCCCTAGGATAACCTGAAATTATAAACTGGATCATTTAAAGGAATCTAACAAAGGATCTTTATAATTAAAACAAAGCAGGGTTAATGGGATGTAAAATTGCATATAATCACTGTGCAATAATGATTGAATTTTAAATTATTAAAATCAAAATGAAGACTAAGGATATTTTGAAGGACTTTCTGGGTAAGATTTTGAGAGACCTGGGTAATAAATCAACAGTTTTGAGGCAGAGCTTTCTTTTGAACATGGAGGAAAAGGTTTACGTGTAATGCAGAGGATCGTAGTCTTTCATTAGATGTCTATGTTTTAATAGACAAATCACAGTGCTACAAGGTGATTTTCTAAGTACTTAACTTTTGTTATTTCTTCTTGAAATAATTCAAATGCCTTTCTGATCCTTGACTTTATTAGAAATATTCTGAAATAAAATATTTCAGTTTAGTTGTTTTAAAAAATAACATCTATATTCCTGTTATTTAATAAATTGCATTTTCATTTTAAATTGGTTGATTTACAGTATTTCTGTTTTTTCTTGGTTTAGATAATGTTTTATTAGGCAGGTCTGAATAACACATACTTGTACAATTCAGTATACAGACACTCTGATACAACTTTCTAAAAATAGAACTGTTGTAACTGGTAATTAGTGTTCAGTGTAATGAGATCTGACTATAGATTTAAATTAAAACTTTCAAAGTCTGTAATATACCTGAAAGATTTAGTGACATCCTGGTTATGATCTTGAACTTTATGCTTCTTTTTAATCATGCTATGAATGTGTGATGTTGAGGGTATCACACATGTCAAGAGCTTCACTGACAGCAGCTTAATTAGGATTTCAGGTTTACATTGGGGTATACACATAAGTAGGCTTCTTAATTTACGAGCTGGATGCATCTACAATGTTGGCTGTAAAAGGAGACATGAAAAGACTTTAGGAATGTTGTGTGAGGAGAGTACAGCCCACATTTGAGTGAAGTAGTGATGGATGAGGTTGAAAGAAAAGGCTGCATGCTGACAAGAATGAGATAAGATAGGAGCACCCACCTCATGCAAATATGTACACAAATGTATACAGCTTCAGCAACTGGGAGTAGAAATTACTCCACATGTAATCACAAAGCTGTGACATCATTGGAATGATTGAGATTTGGTGGGATAGCCTGCACTGCATGACAGAAGTGCTGTGACAGACAGATACAAGTTCCTTGGGACGGATAGGCAGAGAAAGCAAGGAAAGAGTGTTGCCTTCTCTGTGAAGCTCTTCAGTGAGTTGGATGACAATTTGATTGATAACTTTCAGGATAGGATAAGATGAGAGTCCACTAAGGGTGACATCATGGTGAGAGTTTTTTACAGACCATCCATTCAGGGTGAGGGAAGGGAAGAAGCATTCTTTAAGCCATTTGGGAAGGAAGAACCATTCCTTAAACACTTTGAAGAAGTATCTGGATCACAAACCCTATTTTCCCATGGGGATCTTTACCCTTCCTGACAACCTCTGAAAGTGCAACAAAGTGGGATGCGTGTAGTCAAGACAATTGCTGAAGAGTGCTGGCAATGACTTCTTGATGCAGGGTGATACAACTAAGAGTGACAAGCAGCTGGATCTGCTGTTTACCAGCAAGCAAGAATTATTTTTGAATGTAGTAAATAATGGTACCTTTGGTTGCAGTTACCATGAAACAGTGGTGTTCAAGATCCTGAGGGAAGTGAGGATGGAGAGTAGCAGAATACAGATTCCACGACTGCAGATTTTAGCCTGTTCAGGAAACTGATTAGTAGGATCCCATGGGAGGCAGATGTGGAGGTCAAGGGAGCTCTAGAAAGGTGGCAGGCTTTTAGGTACAGCATCGTCCAAGTGCAAGAACAGGAAAAAAGTAAATGTATCAATAGAGTGGTTTGGCTAGCTAAGGAAATTATAGTAGAGCTCTGATGCAAAAAGAGAGTGCACAGGAGGTGGAAGTAGAAGCAGGCTACAAAGGAGGAATTTAGAAACATTGCTTGAGCATGTAAGGAATGTTGTCAGGATGGCCAATAGTCAACTGGAAGTGAGTTGGAAGAGAACAACAGGAGCTTCATTAGAAGGCTGGCCAAGGAAAATGTGGCTTGTTGCTGAGTGAGATGGATGACAGATATGACTGAGGTGCTCAGTGCCTTACTTACCTCGTTCTTCATGGAAGTTTCTCAAGCCTCTGTCTTTAGTAAAAGGGTTCAAGGAGGACAACTAGAAACAGTGGATAAGGATTGAGTCAAGAATGCCTTCGGACAACTTGTACCATACAAGTCCATAATACCTGATGGTCTACATCTGATGGTTGTAAAAGTCCTTGCTAGGCTGATCACTATGATCACAGGTGCCTGAAGAAAGGTGAAGATAGCACCCATCTTTAAAACAGTCCACAAAAGCTCTTCAGTTTTTTTCTGTCCCTTGGAAAATCATGTAGCAAGTCCTTTTTGAGACACATTTCTGGCCACACAAAAGAGAAGGTAATTGAGAATAGTGAACATGGATTTACAAAAGACAAACCTAACTGTTTACCTTCTGTAATAAAACAACCAGATTTGTGGGCAGGGTGATTGCAGTGAACATCACTTACCTTGACACTAGCAAGGTTTTCACACTGTGTCCCACAATATTCATATATCAGAGTAGGAACTCTACATTCTGAAGGGATAGACATCTAAATAGATAGAAAATTTACTACTTAAAGGGGCTTCAAGGGTTGTGGTTAATTGTTCGTACCTTAGTTTGATGTCTTTGACAAGTGGAGTATCTTAGGGATCTATCCTGCCTAAGAGACGGATGTTACAGATATGCAAATACAGCCAGAAAATAGCACTGGGGAAACAGTAACACTCAGATACAGTATATAAATAAGAACAAAGGTGTTTGATTTTTCTGTCCTTGACCAAATTTTCTTGCTTTTTGTCCTCCTCACCAAGTATAACTTTTGATTGGAGGAATCCTTTATCAACTCTGAGTGGTTGTTTTATGGAGATTCGGCCTACTTGTTATCTTCCTTTGGTAGAGGATTCCTGTCATAGATATTTCTGTAAATCCGGGCACCAAATGTCTGTATTTCTATTCCAGCTGAGGTGTGAGCTTGAACTCCCTGTTTAGATGTGGGTTTTTACAATCTCGTATTCTTTACTACAGCTGTAGTCCTACCTCCAGCTCTCCTAACTCCAGACTAATAGTCACTTTGTGTTAGGCAAAGCATACGTTGTTACGGTAACGATTGGTGTCCTTGTGGGGTC